GTAAACCAACACTTTCTCGGCCCAGCGAACGCTCCACCCCCCACGGGAGCCGTTGTTTTCTTTGGAACGCACGTCGCTCTCAAACCGGTGGCTTGCTCGGAGGGGGGGGGGGGGGGGCTCACACATTTCTTGCGAGCCGTTGACTTTCGCAGATGTCGTCGCGTGACAAAAATGCACCCCCCTCCCCTCCCTACTCCCCTCGCTTTATTCCCCGCCTCGCATTCACGCTCCCCCCGCCGACACCACAACCCTCATCGCCAAGCCAGATTGCGTAAGCGCGGTAGCGGAAGGTCCGTTAACTTTATTTTGCACGGTCACGTTTGTGAAACGTCGAAGCGAAATATTTAATAAAAGCTATTTTTTAAGAGGACACCTTTTGCTCTTTTTGACCGAATGAATTAACAAACAGGACCCTGCGGGGTGGGCTGGTAGGAACGAATAACCAAAGAATATAAACATAATGTATTATTACACTTGTTTAGCCAGGAAAGCCTCACTGAGTCTAAAGGTTTTTGTAGGGTCCTGCCAAGTGTTTGCAGTAGGGGGCGATGTTGCTACACCTAATCGGACGATATGAAGGGAGAGTTTGAGGCCTAGTTCTAGGCTTTAGGCCTAGCTGTAGGCTTTAGGCCGCTGTGAGTTAATTTTTAATTTAAATGTTTTAATTAAAAGCTATCTCAGGGAATTATAAGGGAATGTTACACTTGTTTAGCCAGGAAAGCGTCACAGTCTAAAGGTTTTTGTAGGGTCCTGCCAAGTGTTTGCAGTAGGGGGCGATGTTGCTACACGGACGGACGATATAATCTATTGTAGGCTGGTTCACTTCGTTCCTACCAGTAAATAACGACGGGTGCCCGAACCCACGTTCAAGTCGCACCGTCTCAGCAGCGTCCAGCGAAGATGTTAACTACCTCGCCTGCGATACAGGAGGTCGTGGGCACGACTCCGACGCCTGCTGGACATTTGGAGTTTGCGTGCCTCTCTTCCCGTGGATTTTTCCTCTGGGTTCTCCGGGTTTTCCCTCCACGTCAAGAACCAACGTGCAGGGTCCCCCATTAAAAAGGCCACCGGTACAACTTTCCACATACGCCACTTCTCGTTGACCTATCATGTTATGGCCAAGTTCAACCACGTAGGCCTTTCGTCACCAATATTAAGCTTAAGGTTTTTCTGGGTGAGATCTCGTACATAGAAATGTCGTTAAAACTCCGCCATCCCTTAAACAAGACGTGCCAAGTGGCCAGGTCGCTTCTGAAAACAGCTCGGTGGACTTTACCGGGTAAAAGCAAATTTTGGTTGAATACTTTTCACAGAGGTTGGTGGTTGAGCACGCACCGGCCGCCCTGGTGAATACTGCCGGGCGCACGAGCCAGCGAATGAGAGCTGCGCGGACTGCGTCCGCTTGCCGGCGTGGATGTTGAGGAGCTCCCCGTGGAGTCGGTGCCCAAGGGGACCGGGTTGGCTACGGTGTCGTGCCGTGTGACAGAGGTCGCAAACGGGTTTTGATTCCTTACCCGTACCCGGCCGCACCAGGGTCACAAACGGGTACCCGTACCCGGCCGTACCCGTACCCGTACCCGGCCGGGTATCGGGTAGGGTACGGGTATCGGGTACCTGATTGCGACCTCTGGGATGAAGCCATGTTGCAGGCGCGGGTGGGTTGATTCTAGGAACTTGAATTGTGAGAAGAGACAAGACGTTGGGAAATGAGTGACAAACGGTGACTCACCAGTGACTCACGGCCTACCCGTACCCGGCCGCACCAGGGTCGCAAACGGGTACCCGTACCCGGCCGGGTAGGGGTAGCCGGGTATCGGGTAGGGTACGGGTACCCGGTTGCGACCTCTGCTGTGTGGGGGTGCTCAAGGCTTGCATGGGGAATACCAAAAAGCTGGATGTAAAAGTTTTAGTTGGGTATTAATTGCTCACAACACACACACTTTTCAAAGGAGGCATTTTTTATTTTAAAGACTTTTTTCGTAAACATATACGAACGACTGTACAACATTCTAGCGAGTGTTAAGAGAATATGGATACTAAAAATTGTTCACCTTGTAAATGTGATGAGGTTTTCTCACCAAACCCATTCAACAGACAAGCGGGCAATTCTGTAAATCTTTTTAAAATGTTCTCTTATTTGTCTTTCCCTCCCAACTTCGTTGCTGGCATGTCAATATCAGCTTGCTTTAATACTGCGCTAACCACATCTCATGAAGGTGAAACGACATTTTATAACAAAGACATTTTTTAAAGAATACCCTTTCATTCATTCACTTATTGGCCAGCTGGCGAACATTAGGCCAACCAAGCTCCCCAATTTTTTCGTCTCAATTTTATCCCAAATAAACTTAAAATTTTTCATCAGCTAAGGCCCGCTGAGCCATGTAGCTCTTTTGCAGAAGCGACCGGGCCACAGATGACCGCCCAACCAAGTGGGCTCATCATCATCACCACGTCGAAATTTACAGCAGCCAAATATTCTAAACGCGTGATGTCGATTCTAAAATGTCAAAGGGAGAAACCGGAGGACACGGAGAAAAATCCACACGATCACGGGGAGAGACAACATGCAAACTCCAAATATACAGCAGGCGTCAAGGGTTGGAATCGAACCCACGCCCTCCTGCATATCAGGCGAGGGAGACGACACCTCATAGCCACCGTGGGGGTGTAGGGTGAGGGGCAACCCCGAAACACACTGATGTGCGGTCGCCGTTTGCCACGTGACGGTTAAATTAAATTCACAGAGGTGAAAGTTGAGCCGAATGCAACGCCACGGTTATTCTGTACGGTCCCGTTGGTGACTTGGGGCCGAGACCGACTCTTGATGAGGAAGCCACTTGGGGGAGCGATGCACTTTTAAATCGAAATTGAGAAATCGTTTCTTGACAACTGCTTTTGTTCCATTCGTTGACTTGTCCCGGCACCTCCTGAATAACACGGTTGGCTACGCACGGTGCGAAAGAAGTTCAGCTCGCTGACTCAGCCCCGGTTTCATCACAGCTCAACCTATGAAAGTTTTCCAGGTTCTCTACGTCAACCCGAGCCGAGGGGTCTCTGTGCGTCATTTAGTGGCATTCAGGCCAAGAACATCGCCTTGTTAGCCTTGAGAACGCGTACGCGTCAACCCACACGGTTGAGCCCGTATTCTTGTACAGAGAAATTGAGTTTTCAGGTCCATACGCAGGATCTCAGCGGTGCCGCTCTCACAGTGTGTTGTCCTCCGAGCAAACTCAACGTGCGAGAAAATTTACACTTGGCTTAGCAAAGTAACCGCGCGGTACAAATGACCAAACACTTAATAATAAAATGCATAGGGAGCTTTAGAAAGGCAGTCCTATGGCTTTCACCCATTACCTCTGAACTATCCATTGTCTACCCAAAATTATGCCCCAATACCCCGCCATTCGCCACTAAGTGACGGTGACGTCACCGTGGCGCCGGGTGCCAGGCCAGGTGCACTTTGAGGCAACGTGAAGTATCAAAGGCTCGCTGACAGGAGGTCTCAGGACAGACCCAGGTGCCATGGCTGACTGAGATGACTGGCTGATGCACCAACTGTACCCTCCACTGTGCCAACTTGCTGCATTTTAGCCGCCCGGCGCTCCGCTCGTTGTTGTGAGCGTCGCTCCTCCGCCCTCCGTTGCTGTTGGAGGGCTACTGCCTCCAACTGCCCAGCAGCGTCCTTCACGAGCCTCCTCCACAGAGGCCGATCTTGACACCGCTGGTACCAGTCGTCGGCAAGTCCACTCAGCTCCACGTCCTCCTGTACCGCATCAGCTCCATCTCTTCTCCAGACCATGTCGTGCCCGTTTAGCCCCCTCTATGCGGCCTAACAGAAGCTGATTGGGCATGCGGTAGCTGGGCATGCGGGCTACATGACACAGCCAACGAAGCCTTTCCTGCCGGAGGAGCTCACTGATGGGAATATTTACACATCTTTCAAGGATTTGTGAGCTCCCCACACAATCCAGCCTGGTTAAAGCCAGGATGGATCGTAGACATGCCAGCCAGAATGTTTCTAACTGGCGCATATGTTACGTTAGAGGGGTCCACGTTTCACAAGCGTAGAGAAGGGAGGGCATGACAGTGGCCGAGAACACCTGAAGCTTTGTGCGGAGCGACAGGCCAGGTAGCTTCCACAAAGCGTTGCGCAGCCGGTGATAAGATAATGCCGCCCGACTGATTCGGAGTGAGACCTCTGCTGTCAAACCGGAGCCGGTCATAAGCACACGGGGATTCTCCACTCTCTCCACAACTGCTCCATCACCAATGGAGAGATGAGGGAGTGGAGTGTTTGGTGGCACAAAATATCCAGGCAAGTGCTTAGTTTTGGAACTGGCACACTCCAGGTTCAGCAACAGCGTCTCCAACTCCTCCTCTGAGTGAGCAGCAATCACCAGATCATCAGCACACATCACGTGGTTGACCAATAGGGGAGCCATCCCTCGACCGCACCCGGGCATCGATCAGTCTAGCCGTTGTATCTGCACCGGATGGAAATTCCAACGCCCCAACTTAACCACACACCCCAGTGGCATTTAAAGCAATGCTCGACGCGTCTAAACCGTCTTTAGCAACATTGCAAACTGCCTACCCTGTCAAGTACACTGCCGGCGAATGACAAAACGCAGGAAGAGGCAGCGTCCCCGCCGCGTCTCCTGGTGTTGCGCGTGAACACAAAACACCCGAGCCCTTGGATGAAAAAAAAAAACCCACCAAAACGGCTGCGGTGTTCAGGATGTAGTCTCTACCGCGGCGTGTGCAGTCACCGTATTCCACCGCCCCCCCCACCCCCCCCACATTAAAACAACAGCGGCGTCGTTCCATAATTTTAACGACGACACATCAGCTTCAGATTTATTTGCCCGCAAAAACCTCGCTGCTGGGTGTGTCTCTCTCTCTCTCTCCAGGCTCTGGCTTTCTCCGGAGGCTCTCCCCCTCCCTTGCTCACGGCGTGCCGTGCGGGGGGGGGCGATGTTCATGTGCGTTACCCCCCCCGCTCACTCTCCCGCCCCTTACCCCCCCATCGTGGCTTCATTTGCGGTGGGGACTTTCCCCGATTCGAACAAATATCTGGAGCGTGACGACGCCGGCACACAACGGCCCAACCACTCTCTCGTACGCGAACGACGTCACCAAGGGATCTTTAACACTCCCCTCGCCCCCCCCCCCCCCCCCCGAAGTGTACAGTGCCCGGCATTCTTCCGGTTAATACAAAGATCCCCCGTATAGCCTGAACTGACTGTGGGGCAAGTGCTGTTAGCGAGTAGCATCTGTGAATGTCGGCACGGCACACGAGGGGGGAGGGGGGGTGGCCAAAACCATGCCAGGCCGCCTTTGTCTCCCCCAGCGGCGAAGTTTACAACGTGCCAGGTACTAATTTCAGGCTGGGTCGACTTAGGGGAGGCCCATGACCGGTTCGGATGATTGTCACCGTTGGTGTTGGCCGTGAGCGGGAATCAAACTCGGCACGCCGGGTTCACAGCGCAGCTTTGCTAACCGTTACACTACCGCTCCCCACACACACAAGCGCACACTCACCGCGGCATTAACCGGGGCAGGCCGCGTGGTTGGAGCCGCTTCGTAACCCGGCAACCACCACCACCACCGCCGCCGCCGCCGCATTTTGCCCAGCGTCCACTCTGCAGTCTCTCCCGCTTCCCCGGGACGTACTAAATTCCGGGGAGCTCCGTTGTTCAAAGCGCATTCGCGTTAAAAGACGACTCCCGTAGAGTAATTGTTGGGGTGCGTCTCGCTCTTCCGGGAGGAGCCCCGTGAGAGGGAGGGGGTGGTGGTGGTACCGCCCCCTAGTTGGGACCTTTCCCTTCCTCTTCGTCGGAGGAGTCTCCGTACTGAATTAAATACTTGAGCATCTCGTCAGACTTCATCGCCTTCTTTGGTGGACTCGAGCTGCTGTACCCTTCTTTGAGAGAGGAATATACGGCAACAAACACAACAACACAACCCACCCACAAAGACCACAACACAACAAACCCAAAAGCCCACAACACAATCAACCCACCCACCAACCAACCCACCCACCAAACCCACCCACCAACCAACCCACCCACAACACAATAAACCCACCCACCAACCAACCCACCCACCCACCAAACCCACAACACAACCAACCCACCCACCAAACCCACAACACAACCAACCCACCCACCCACCAAACCCATAACACAACCAACCCACCCACCAAACCCATAACACAACCACCCACCACACAAACCAACCAACCACCCACCAACCCACCCACCCACCAAGCCAACCCACCCACCAACCCAACCCACCCACCAAGCCAACCCACCCACCAAGCCAACCCACCCACCAAGCCAACCCACCCGACATCACAAACCAAGACGAGAGAGAGAGAGAGCGAGCGAGAGAATGTCAGATAAGTCGGAGAGCGAAGGACATTTGGAGCAGCAGGAGGAAGGGAGGGAGGAAGGGAATACTTTCCAGGGTGATAGTTCGAGGGTGAGCGTCCAGGCGGCGGACGCGTTGGAGGAGAGGACGACCCGTGGCGGACGGGACAGGCGCGGCGAGGCAGGACCACGGGACATGTGACAGGGGGGACACGGGGACAACATTAGCGTCACCTCCACAGCGGTGACGTGTTAATAGAAACACTCACAATGTATATACACATCAGCGAATTCAGATTTTTGTAATCTGTAATCTTTACGTAATGTTTCCTGCGATTGCGTAAAACGACACGTACGGCCCCCCTGATGCCAATCCACTGCTGGATGAGTGCGTCTCAGTGTTGCGTGGGTCGTGGGGGGGTTTAATCGACCGTACACGTCACCACTTTCGCTCGGCGAAGGCAAGCGCGAGAGAAGGATGCTAAACGACGACCTGTAAACAAAGCCCGCCCACTGCACAGCGTTCGCTCGCTCTCAAATAATCAGATTATTCACCCCGGAGGAATCCGATAAGCTATAAAGCTCTTTTCGATTTAAAGCTTCTTTCGTGACTGCAGGGATTCATCTTCTTGGTTCTTTCGGTAAAGTCACGTAGAAGGGAAATAATGAAATAATAAAAATAAAACATAATAAAATAATTCTCACGACGTTTCGGCCACAACGCAAGACGCTGTCTTTCCGACAGACCTGTTCTTCACCCGAGGACGGCTGCTTGCGTTGTGGCCGAAACGTCGTGAGAATGATTTAATTATGTATTATTTTTATTATTTCATTATTTCCCTTCTACGTGACTTTACCGAAAGAACCAAGAAGATATAAAGCTCTTTGTTTCACACATTCGGTAAAAGTGCGGCTCGGGGAAGAGGAGGAACCGCCGCGTCGACATTTACAGCAGCTGGCCAATTTCTGCGGTCCTCAACATATTAAGATGCCTTCAGCCAATGAATGAGTGTTTGCACGTGGAAGGAGACCAGAGGACCCGGGAAAGAACCCCTGCGTTCCAGAGGGCAACGCTATCCCACACAGGTGGAACGGATGGAGGTTAGTCCACGTTGTCCCTGTACCGCCGCTGCCTTATCCTGGCCGAGCCAGGGTACACAACGGCTCCCCCTCCCCTCCTCAACAGCCACGGGAAGGGACTTTCACAGCATCTGCGTGCGATCCATAAACCCCCTAGTTAGCTCGACACCGCTGGATTAAAGTCCACTCATAGAACCGCCATCTCCGCCAGGCAAATATAATTGGAGTGAGGGGGGGGGGACGTGGACACCGAAAAGATCTCTTCCAGTCGGCGAACGTCGCCATTTCCGATGCGGCCGTAACGTAGCCGGAGCGTCGGAGCAATCGTCTTGGCATCGTGGGGTTGACGCGGTGGCTCGGAGATGTTGATTACCTCACCTGGTATACAGGAGGTCGTGGGTTTGATCCCGATCCTGACACCTGCTGCTGCATATTTGGAGTTTGCGTGTCTCTCTATCATCATAATGGTGGCTATGAGATGTTAACTACCTCGCCTGATCTACAGGAGGTCGTGGGTTTGATCCCGATCCTGATGCCTGCTGCTGTATATTTGGAGTTTGCGTGTCTCTCTCTCATCATCATCATTGTGGCTGAGATGTTAACTACCTCGCCTGGTCTACAGTAGGTTTTGGGTTCGATCCCGATCCTGACGCCTGCTGTATATTTGGAGTTTGCGGTGTCGCTCTCTCATCATCATCACGGTGGCTCGAAAATGTTAACTACCTCGCCTGCTGCTCTAGATTTGGAGTTTGCGTGTCTCTATCTGTCTCTCCCCGTGGATTTTTCTCCAGGTTCTCCGATTATCCCCTCCACATTTAGAATCATCGTGCGTTTCATTTGGCTGCTGCAAATGTCGACGCGATGACACGCCGCTTTGTCGAGCTCTCATTTGTAATAGTCAGGTCGTTTCTGAAAAAGAGTGTTTGTGAAGAATTGTAATAGACCCCATTAACAAAGCCCGCGGCCCGCCATCGCGCGCACGGCTCCCGTGCTCGCAACCACCCGGCGTGTCGAGTGCGCGCGCGCTCCCCCCGCACCTGCGGGCGCCGTCGAGGGGGCGGAGGAGGGTGGCGATGGCGGCATCCGGCCCTTGTCCCGGTCCGCGGCGCGGCTCACGACGAACGTCGCCGACAGCGGTGGCGGCGGTGGCATCAGCTCACTGTCGCCACGACAACCACGACGAGAACGACAACGGGACAGAAGCCAGGATCGCGCGGACGCTCACCAACTCAGACCCCGTGCCTCTGCCCTGTCCTCCCCCCCCCCGAGCACCTCCGATTAGCACGGTTGACGACGTACGGTGAGTAAGGAGTTCAACGTGTGTACATACGGTTTAACAAAGTAGCCTTCGCGACCAATATCATTAATAATAAGATTTTTTTTTTGGATTAGATCGCGTAAATATAAACCGCCACCACCCACAGATACAAGAACAATTGGCTTGCATAATGCACATGCATAATGCTGGTTGTAATTACTGGCGAAACGTCGCACTCAGATAGTAAATGTTGTGGCTTGGCTCTCCAACACACCGGTGTGCTGTACTAGTACACTACACTATACACTACACTATACACTAGTGCTGTACTAGTATACTACACTATACACTACACTATACACTACACTACACACTAGTGCTGTACTAGTGACGAATTGGCATATTCTGTGTACGTGACAACCCTTACTAGTTGGCGGTGTCGGGTGGTGGCGGGTTTAACGAGACATTTATATATTTACGTGATTAACCCAACAAAAAGAAAACCTCTATTATGTACATACTGCCCCAACAGCCTCCCCTGCTGCATTGTACAGGGTGCTTCAAATTTGTCTTAACAAGCGGAGACTCGTTCACTTTATGAAGCTATTAACATACATTTGTCATCATGTTAGTGAATTATCTGGGTTTTTTTTCCATTAAAAAACGATAGTCCCATGTAAGTACCAACATTTTTTTTTAAGCGCCCTCTCTAACCCCGCTGGAGCGGCGAGGGTTGGGCGAGTCGACGACCGGCGAGCGTGAAAGTCGGGCGAGCGGTAAACAGCCGTGAGCGACAACAATTCACGGCGGGCTAGCGGCGTTTGTTTCGTCACCTGTCACCAGAGCGTGCGTCAGCACCTCCGCTGCGAGTGGCGAGGCTTGAGGCGGCCATCCCGGCTGCACTCTGCGAGGAGCCTGCACTCGAGTGAGATAAGTGAATGGGGCCATGCTACAAACACAGCGGAAGGGAAAGCAGCAAGTCAGTGCCGTCACACACCCACGCGCGTTGCTTATCTCACCGCCGCCCGGCGGCAAAACCACCGCCGGCAACACCAACGCCGGCAACACCACCGCCGCATTGCTCACGAAAGGGCTGTGTGAGGGCACAGTCGTTAACGGCCACACCGCTAACCTCCGCAAGTCGGCGTGCGTGCCCTCGGGCGTGGCGTGGTGTTGCTTTTTCTGATCGTTCGGGTAATTTTGTTGCGTGCGTTTGCCCTTCCCCTTCAGCATTGTGGCCTGCCGCTGCTGCTGCTGTGAGCACACGTACGTTATGAACGTGCTCGCCCCCCGCCACAGAAATGTGGAATTTCCTCAACTGGCTCAAGTGCTGTAAACAGGAGAGGAGTAGGGGGCTTCCGTTGCTCTGTTGTAGCGGGAACGCGGGCAGAGACACGAGACTCAGGGTGGCGACTCGCCACGCACCTCAGCCAGGTTGCGACAGCTTCTCCCATGCGCCATAATCATTTCAGCAAACGACGTCGGCTCTTGAAAAAGGGACGCTGGGCACGTCTGCTGAACTTCTTTCGCACCAAACGTAGCCAACCGTGCTAATCGGACGTGCAGTGTTGAGTTTGTGGGCAGTGTGAGTCTATGGGCAGTGTTGAGTCCATGGGTAGTGTTGAGTCCATGGGCAGTGTTGAGTCTATGGGCAGTGTTGAGTCTGTGGGCAGTGTTGAGTCTATGGGCAGTGTTGAGTCTATGGGCAGTGTTGAGTTTGTGGGCAGTGTGAGTCTATGGGCAGTGTTGAGTCTATGGGCAGTGTTGAGTCTATGGGCAGTGTTGAGTCTATGGGCAGTGTTGAGTCTATGGGCAGTGTTGAGTCTGTGGGCAGTGTTGAGTCTATGGGTAGTGTTGAGTCTATGGGCAGTGTTGAGTCTGTGGGCAGTGTTGAGTCTATGGGCAGTGTTGAGTCTATGGGTAGTGTTGAGTCTACGGGTAGTGTTGAGTCTATGGGCAGTGTTGAGTTGATGGGCAGTGTTGAGTTTATGGGAAGTGTTGAGTCTATGGGCAGTGTTGAGTCTATGGGCAGTGTTGAGTCTATGGGTAGTGTTGAGTCTATGGGTAGTGTTAGTCTATGGGCAGTGTTGAGTTGATGGGTAGTGTTGAGTTGAGGGGCAGTGTTAGTCTATGGAAAGTGTTGAGTTGATGAGTAGTGTTGAGTTGAGGGGCATTGTTGAGTCTATGGGTAGTGCTGAGTTGAGGGGTAGTGTTGAGTCTATGGGCAGTGTTGAGTCTACGGGCAGTGTTGAGTCTATGGGCAGTGTTGAGTCTATGGGAAGTGTTGAGTCTATGGGCAGTGTTGAGTCTATGGGTAGTGTTGAGTCTATGGTCAGTGGAGTCTATGGGTAGTGTTGAGTTGAGGGGTAGTGTTGAGTCTATGGGCAGTGTTGAGTCTATGGGTAGTGTTGAGTCTATGGGCAGCGTTGAGTCTATGGGCAGTGTTGAGTCTATGGGAAGTGTTGAGTCTATGGGCAGTGTTGAGTCTATGGGTAGTGTTGAGTCTATGGGAAGTGTTGAGTCTTGGGTAGTGTTGAGTCTATGAGCAGTGTTGAGTCTATGGGTAGTGTTGAGTCTATGGGTAGTGTTAAGTCTATGGGTAGTGTTGAGTCTATGGGCAGTGTTGAATCTATGGGAAGTGTTGAGTCTATGGGCAGTGTTGAGTCTATGGGTAGTGTTGAGTCTATGGGAAGTGTTGAGTCTTGGGTAGTGTTGAGTCTATGGGTAGTGTTGAGTCTATGGGTAGTGTTGAGTCTTGGGTAGTGTTGAGTCTATGGGTAGTGTTGAGTCTATGGGTAGTGTTGAGTCTATGGGTAGTGTTGAGTCTTGGGTAGTGTTGAGTCTAGGGGCATTGTTGAGTCTATGGGTAGTGTTGAGTCTATGGGAAGTGTTGAGTCTTGGGTAGTGTTGAGTCTATGGGTAGTGTTGAGTCTATGGGTAGTGTTGAGTCTTGGGTAGTGTTGAGTCTAGGGGCATTGTTGAGTCTATGGGCAGCGTTGAGTTGAGGGGTAGTGTTGAGTCTAGGGGCATTGTTGAGTCTATGGGTAGTGTTGAGTTGAGGGGTAGTGTTCATCTATGGGTAGAGTCTACGGGGAGTGTTTGATGGGCAGTAAGTGCTTTATACTGAACCTCTTTCGCACTGTACATAGCGAGCACCCCCCCCCCCCACACGAATGGAATCCAAACCACCGATGCCGCCTCCAAACGTGAAATCTATTTGCAGGCGGCTGCGTTCAGCGCTCGTCAGGGAGAGAAAAGCGCGGCGAGACCCGCGACGGAGACTCGTACTCACCGGAGAAAGTGCGTCTACGACGATAAAACACATTACGTCGGAGACCTTGATGCTGCGGCTGCTGCTACGTGAGCAGCGGCGCGCACAAGCAACAAATAAACTCGCTCGTCAACCGTGTGAGACCGTACGTAGCAAAACGTGCCGACCGGAGGAGCGGGATTAGAACCGTTTGGCCTTAAAAAGGCAAAGTAAGTAACAGGCGACGTTTCAGGCAATGGACCTTCTTGGGAGCACGTGCTATGCGCTTGCTATGCAGCAAGGCCCTTGCCCCGAGTGTTGACGACCACAAGTTTCTAAAAAAAAAAATTCTAATGGGGTTTTACTTATCATAATATAATCCAAAAGCCACTTTTGTTATTTTACGTTCGTATTATTTGTTTCATCATGTATATTTTATATATGTTTTTGTTACTTTCAAGGCAGTGTTATTGCCGAATGTAGAGTCGTTGTTACTCTCGACAGCGATAGCGACATCACGCGTACAATCGTGGCAACACAGAAGCAGCACTGGTTGATTTCAGCTGCCGCAAAGACAAAAAATATCCCCACCCTCCCGACAGCCGACACAGACTCTAGGAGCAAGTGCTGTTAGTGAGCGCCTATTAAAGTTGGCACGATGGGGGGGGGGGGGGGGGGGGGGCGGTGTAGACAACACCTCGCCCGGCTGCCTTTGTCTCCCCGGTGTTGATGTCTTACACAACAGACCACGTACCTTTTTAAGGCTGAGTCGAACTAGGGGAAGCCCAGGAGAGATTTGGATAATTGTTATAATAGCTGTGCAATCAACTCCAGATTTACAACGCAATGCGCTAACAACTACACTACCGCTCCACCCACCTCGCCACAACACACTCTCAGTCGTATAAAGATCCCCCATATAATCTTTAACAGACTGTTGGCGCAAGCGCTATTAGCGAGCACCTACGAAGGCTGGTACAGCAGACGAGGGGGTGGGTGGCCAGCACCAGGTTACTCATTTGATGCCGAGTCGACCTAAGGGAGGCCCAGAACCACAACAGGCAAAAACTCTGAATGCAGGTTTCTAAACGTGGAGGGAAAAGCCGGAGGACCCGGAGAAAAATCCACGCCACCACGGGGAGAACACGCAAACTCCAAATATATAGGCTTCAGGGTCGGGATTGAACCCACAACCTCCTGTGTATACAAGGCGAGGCAGTTAAGATCTTGCCAACGCGGTACACATAGCACCAGGAACTCATTTGGATGTATATATGTTGAGCTTCTTTTGCACCGTACGTAGCCACCCATGCTAATCGGACCTTGGGGAGGCCCAGGACCGGTTCAGATAATCATCACTGGTGTTGAACTTGAGCGGGAATCAAACTCGGCTCGCCGGCTTCGTAGCTCAGTGCATCAACCGCTGGGCCACCGCTCCCCCCCCACACATTCGCACAAGCACAGGCAACACGCACTCAAGAGCCACACACTCTGCAGCAACACCGCGTGTCCCACATCGCAGGATGCACTCACACAGCGGGGTTTCCGATCCATGCAGGAGAGAAGAGCCGGGGCAATTCATCGATTAGTCAAATAAAAAGTAACAAAAAAAGGTCACTCCCCCACACATCCTGCCTTGCAAAGGCAGGGAACACCCCTATAAGCCACATCCACCGCCCATCACCTCCCGTCAAGCGGCACATGGGAACAGAGGTGAGACGGTCTTCTTACCTTCCCTCCCCCCCTCCCACCCGCCTATTTTGGCAGCGACACGACCAAGCGGGAGAACGACCGAGGTTCAAATGAAGCGGCTGCCCTGGCTAATACTGCAGCGCTGGCGTACTAACAATAATGTGCCTTTCGCTTCAGAGAACGTTAAAGACCCCGTGACGTCATTCACGAGAGCGGCAACATTTGCGTGCCGGCGTGACGGTCCAATTTTGAAAGAAAAAAAAAAAATCGAATCGCACCGCTAATGACCAAAAACTTGGCAGGACACTGCTGAACAAAGCGTCACTGACAATCAGGGAGGCTTTCCCGGATAAACCAGGCGTCATAGTCGTACTAATAGTAACAAAATAATAATAATAACGATGATGACGACAGTCCTGTGCCCTTGCTGTGGAGAACTGAGCGGGTGGCGCGATGTGGCTAGTTACCTGGTATCCAAGCAGCCTGGACGGGTCGGCCTTGTCAAGCTCTTCCACAAAGCGCCGCTTGCTAGCTGCCACCGTCGCAGCTGGCTGCTGCTGCGTCTGCTGCGCCTGCTGCTGCTGTGGCTGCTGCTGCTGGAACACAGGGATTGGAGAACATATACTCTTAGTCACGTAGGTAACAAAAATGAAATAAAAACTAATAAAAATAAAATAAAAATCACGACGTTTCAGAGGCAACACAAGTCTCCGTCATCAGGTGCGACCGTCACAGCCAGATTTGCTGCAGCAAATAATTTTTTACTGTAGTGCGCACACTACAGTAAAAACATTTTTTGCTGTGGTTGTCCCCACCTGATGACGGAAGCTTGCGTTGCCTCCGAAACGTCGTGATTTAGTTTATTTATTTTTTCACCTACGTGCGTGACTTTACCGAAAGAACCAGAGAATATAAACCCTATTTATAAAAAAATTAGTTTTTTTTTATTTTACCAGCCAAGACCCACCGAGCTATACAGCCACCAATGATAGCGAATCGGAGTGGCTCATCACGTGGAAATTTATAGCAGCCGAATACTCTAAAACGCGTGTTTCTAAACGTGGAGAGCAAAACCGGAGGACCCGGAGAAAAATACACGCGACCACAGAGAAAACACCCAAACTCCAAATATACAGCAGCAGGCGTCAGGGGTCGGGATCGAACCTACCACCTCCTGTACCACCAGGCGAGGCAGATAACATCCATTCTACACAACAAAGACTCATTTCCTGGCAGCGATTTCAGCCGCACCACCTCTACATAACAAAAAGGCTCAGTCCCTTTTACACGCACCTTTACATCATCAGCACCTAGTTTACACAACAAAGGCTCATTCCTAACAGTGTGCTTCAGCCGCACCGAACCTCACAAAAATAATATCCAGGGCCCACCTTGGCTCCTCCCACCCTCAACAAGTATATATACAAGGACCGTTTTCTTGGCATTTCTCTCACTTGATACAGCAGTCGTGCTGTAACGGTTCCACCTGAAGACGGAGGCTTGTGTTGCCTCCGAAACCTCGTGATTTTTATTTTACTTTTATTAAAATTAAATTTTTTACCTACGTGACTTCACCGAAAAAACCTAACAATATGAATCCTTGCAGTCACGAAAGCTTCAAATCTAGAATCCAGCAGGTTGATCGTTCACGGCTTCTGCTGCCGATGAAACAAGCGAGACCGCTAGTTACCTGTACGGGCGGCTGGTACATGGAGGCTGGAGCGGGGTACTGTGCGTACGCCAGTCCTTGCGCATTCGTCGAAGGCGGCTGCGGTGACGGCGTCGGCATGCCGTCAGGGCCCAGCCACGCCGTTCCAACCGGCTGTGCTTGCATGGCAGGGCGGTACATGGACATCCTGCCGTAGTTGTTCATCTGCGAGTAGCCTGCGCGATAGCGGAGACACACGGGGAGAGGTGAAAGGCAGCAGACGACTTCTGTCACATTGTATTTTTGTAACACTTCCGACAGAGGCTGCGTTGGATGGCAGCGCAGCGATAATGCTTGCGACCCGCAAACAAGAAAGGCCTAGAATCTTATTCTTGTGTGGAGATTCTATGTTGCTGCCCCTGTTCTGCAGAGTGTGTGAATGTGCAGTTTGTACATTCTGCCCCTGTTCTGCAGAGTGTGTGTGTGGAGTGCGGTAGTGTAGCAGTTAGCGTGCTGTGCTACGAACCCGCTCAATACCAAGACAAGTGACGATTATCGGAACTAGTTGTGGGCTTTTCCCTCCACATTTAGAAACCTGCATTCATAGTATTTGCCTGCTGTGGTTCTGGGCCTCCCCTAGGTCGACTCGGCATCAAATGAGTACCTGGTGCTGGCCACCCACCCCTTCGTGTGCCGTGCTGGCCTTCATAGGTGCTCGCTAACAGCACTTGCCTCAAGAGTCTGTTAAGGCCATACGGGGGATCTGTCTTGAGAATTTTGTATATTACTGCCCCTGTTCTGCCGATTGTGAGTGATAGTGTGTGGAGTTTGTACACCCTGCTCCTGTTCTACAGAGTGTGTGCGCGAGTATGTGGAGTTATTATGTTCTGCACAGTGAGTGTGATAGTGTGACGAGTCGGTACGTCATCCCTGTGTTCTGCATCAGTTTCATTTATTTGGTATAGGCCTGCGAGCCATTCGGCTCTTGAATTGGGTGCAACCACAACAAACAAAAAACAAGAAAATGAACAAGAAAACATCTTAAAGTGACTATGTGACTATGTGCAAACAGAAAATCCAAGAAAAGACAGCAAAATATTGCAGAAAAAGCACCGTACACCAACGCTGTGTGCAAAAATCCCAGTGGGATGCAAGTTAAACAACAACCACAAGACAACTTAGATTAAGGCCATCAGTCTAGCTACGTACTACAACAAACATGGCCAAACCAAAAAACTTTCGAAATCACCAAAATAAAGCCATAAAAGCAATGTAACAGTGATCATAGGAACTGTGACCGAATTTTTACAATAAACGACATAAACAACATGTACCACCAAACCCTGCAGCCATAGCTGGCTGCATGAGTCACTCCCGCCAAGCTATCTGATTTCCTCCCGTGAATATATTTAACGGGTGTTGCCCATAACATTGCAAAGCTGAAAAATGATCTACAAGTCACTCAATTGGGATGACACATAGCGGCAACACCGTTCCCCCCCTGCCTACTTGGATAAACCTGCAGAATCTTGGGACACAGCGAGGCTTTCCTGGGTAAACATGCAGAATGTTGAGTCAGTTCTGTGTGTACATCTGTAATAGGCAGGCACTAAAACTCTGGCAAAGATAATTTACAATCAGAGGTCGCAAACGGGTTTTGATTCCTTACCCGTACCCGGCCGCACCAGGGTCGCAAATGGGTACCCGTACCCAGCCGGGTACGGGTACCCGTTCCCTGCCCGCACCCTACCCGAAATGAGTGACAAACGGTTACGCACCAGTGACTCACGGCGTACCTGTACCCGGCCGCACCAGGGTCGCAAACGGCTACCCGTACCCGGCTGGGTACGGGTAGCCGGGTATCGGGTACCCGGTTGCGACCTCTGTTTACAATACGAGCACACCTGCAGCTGCTACGAGAGACATGTCCTCTTAAAAACGGGCCACACTGCACCATCGTCTGTAACCTGGAAGGCACTACGGCAGTAATATAAATCACTCCATGTTTTATTATTGACGTTTGACTTGATACGCAACGTTCTACCGACAGCGCAACTGTTCAAAGGTCGATTTCAAAATTGGTCATCAGAATTTTTGTTTATAATCGTGAGCCTTATTTGGCCACATTTTGCAAACAAGTGGAGTCTCCGAATCGTATCTACTCCATCTCTCTCTGACCTCTCCTCTGTGTGTGGCTACGAAGAAACGGAACAAAATCCGGTCGGATCGCGACACGCCCAAAACCCGGTAAAGCAAGTGACGATCCGGTGGCGTTGTAGGTGAGTGTAGTACGTCCACGCCCACGGGTTCAGGGCGGAACAGCTCGGATCACCGCCGTTTGATCTGGGAGGGCAGTATCGGCACGAGCGCCAAAACCTCGCGGCGCTCCACCTTCTAGACCCTCCCCCGCTCGCGCTCGGCTACTCACGGTGAAGTACAAAAGAAAACCGCACTCGCGTGTGACACCACCGCAGCTGCCGCGCGCAGTTTTCAGAGGCGCGAGAAACCGCGGACGATCGTTAAGGGCAGCCAGAACTGGCGCCCCCCCCCCACCCCATTACCTACGCTCTGTGATCCTATATTGAGTATATTTGTTCAACTCCAGTCATGCGTGTGTTCACGCACGTGGGAGAAAACCGGACAACTTAAAGAAAACCCACTCATGTAGGAAGGTGGGGAAGGTGTGACACTCAATCCCTGGGGGGAATTGAACCCACTTGCTGTACTGCCACCATCTCCTGGCAAAGCCCAGTGGGTTTGCAAGTTTTTCACGAATCTGTGTATATGACGGAGCAGCCCTGGCTGCCTCCGCTGGATCACCGGCCACGTGCAGCATCGCCAGCAGCGCCACCTTCACCAACACCGCCGTAGCAACGATAGAACCCGTAATCTTGGTTTTTTTTGCGTTATATCGCATATATATACACACACACACACACACGTGTCGTTAAACCTGCCACCGCCCGACAGCACTTCACCAAAGTAGTAACTAATTAGCACGTTTTGTTTAAGTAATTGGCTATGTGGGGTGCTGGCGGGTTTAACGACACATTGATATTTACGCGATCTACCCAAACAAAAACCTTTATTACGAATATTGGTCACGAAAGGCGATCACGTGTCAAACAGAACTGCTTACCTGCCTGACCGCTCATCGAGTTCTGGTAAGCACTGTACTTGTCATGAACCTGCAGAGACAGACAAAAAACAGAGCAACCCTTCAGAAAGAATTTCGATTTAAAGCTTTCGTGACTGCAGGGATTCATATTCTTGGTTCTTTCGGTAAAGTCACGTAGAAGGGAAACAATAAAATAATATAAATATAAAACAACACAAATTCTCACGACGTTTCGACTGCAACACAAGCAATCATCATCAGGTGTGAGATGCACAGCAAGAAGTCGAGTCAACGTCTTCTGCAAGGAAATGTGGTCTCATTTGCACGCGTGGCCCGGCTCACCAAAATGACAACGGTAAAAAAAATATCCGCTATCTTTGTAAACGTGAGCTGTAGCTAAAACGCTCTCTGCATAATGTTCCCCGAGCCCAAAGGGAATTGGACAGTTGTTCCGATTAGCTAAGCGACAAGCGGGACTGCGGCTCCGTACCCAAACGTAACCACAAATCGTGACAATTACCGGCGTTACGATTAACTTTGCGATAGCTGAAGCAGTCCCGAGGGGCAAAAAAAAATCTGCACTGGCCGGCGTGATAATGTACGGTCAGTCAGTTTATTTCAGGTTAAACACCCTAGGCGATGGAGGGTTTTTTTTATCAATGGTCACATGGGAAGGGAGGGTTTGCAGAAGGGGGGGTGCATCGACCAAAAACAGATTTTTAAAAAATAAACGTGATGACTAAGTAATAAACAAACTAGAACTATGTACAATGTAACTCTAAGCTATGCAAAATAACCACGATATTCATGGCATGAGTGAGAGGAAACCCACGTATGGCATTTCCATTTATAACAATAAGGAGACCAACTACATTTGCTGTGTGGAATATAACCCCATGACCTGCACAGGGAAAGAAAAGACTCCTTCCCCGAACAGTTGCACCAGCACGAGAGTGGCTTTCAAGTTAAATCAAGCTACGTGATGTCATCCGTAGAATCAAAGATGATTCCAATCGGGAACACGCTGCGATTAAATCACTGCAATCACTCCGATGGCAAATGATAATTAACACATTCCTGCGGAGGGAGCTGGTAGGAACGTTGGGTTGCTCGGTCAATGGCCAGGGTCAACGGCGGCGTGGTGTATTCCGCAAATATGCCCGACTGTGAGGGCGGGCACAAGCCGGCGTGAGTAGGTTAAACGTTGCGTTTTATAAGGGCATCACAGGGTGACCAGCCCCTCCTCCCCACCCTCCCCACCCCCTCCCCAACCAGCCCCACCCTCCCCTCTCCACCCAGCCCCACCCCTCACATTGTTGGGTGCACGACGGACGGACACAATAATCCCCTGTGGGCTGGTGGAACCAGGAGGTTCCTACCAGTATCAAGCTACGTGATGTCATCCGTAGAATCAAAGATGATTCCAATCGGGAACACGCTGCGATTAAATCACTGCACGCGCAGTTGTGGAAAATCTATTCTCCGATGGCAAATGATAATTAAAAATAAGGTGACTACACCTTTGATTCAAATTGCGCTGGGTTATTTCATCGCGGCTTATTCAGGCGGAGCCCGGCGATCGACACCGAGCGCTGTGCATGTCGCACCCCTTGAACGACCACTCACCGTCTGGAGTAAATCCTCGCAGAGTTTTCTCGCCAAAGCCAGCTTCTCTGGTCTGGGGTGGCTGGGAATAACAGATTTTTCAAGGCAGGTTTAGATACGGCCAGTGGCTGGACAAAACGAGTAAGACCCCTTCATCATCATCATTATTTTTTTGCGTGTTTCGCATATCGTTACATCTGAAAGCAAATGAAACATGATATAACGTATCAACGGCATGCCCACATATCTACAAACAGCTAATTACTCGACACAAAAGAGAAACACGTAGGGAAACAAAGAAAGAAACAGATCCCCCGTATAGCCTTCACAGACTGTTGGGGCAAGTGCTGTAGCGAGCACCTCTCAGAAAGACCCACACACACGGACATCCCCACAAAGGCAGACACCCACCCACCCACCCACCCACGCACCCACGCACCCACGCACCCACGCACCCACCCACCCACCCACCCACGCACCCACCCACCCACCCACCCACCCACCCACCCACGCACCCACTCACCCACGCACCCACCCACCCACCCACGCACCCACGCACCCACCCACCCACGCACCCACCCACCCACCCACGCACCCACCCACCCACGCACCCACCCACGCACCCACCCACGCACCCACCCACCCACGCACGCACCCACCCACGCACCCACCCACGCACCTGATGTAAATGTAGAGCGGCTCGAAGGCCTCGCGGCCGGACGCGTGCTCCATGTAGCCCGAGCTGCGGCCCCGCAGGTGAACCTTGGCGCCGGTCTCGCGCACGATGTGCTGCAGGTAGGAGCCGCCGGGGCCCTCCAAGGAGGCCTTGAGGCCAAAGGCGGGATCGGCGTGCTCCAGCCCCACAAACACCTTCTCCTGCACATAGTGCATCTGCAAGGGAGCGTTGCGGAGCCGGTGACGACCGAGTGCGTGCGGGAGAGCGGGCACACGATGGTACCCGTGGCAAGTCACCATCGCGGACCTCGCAATCTTTTATTTACATTAACCTTTTGTGTAACGATTCACGAGACCGTTACAATAGTTCGCGTGTCCCCCTCCCGCCCCCCCCATCGCACAAAGCCGACCCTACGCGACTGGCATAATGTCACGACGGACCTCCGCGAGACCTGGCAACGGGAGACCGTGGCCAGAAGATGATGAGGACGACAACGATGATGAGAATGATATTCTATTTATTCTTACATATGTAGTGACAATAGAGCCTGCATGCGGTGCGAGGGAGACTAGTAGTGGCCACGGGAGGTAATGACGGGGGTATCAGTTGTGAGTGCGTAGGGACTGGTGACTACGGAAATGTTCGAGAAGGGAGCGTGGTCAGGTGACGGAAGAGGGCGGTGGAGTCTGTGGGTGGAGCGAGCGTCCAGAGTCAGCGAGAATGATCGAGAAGGGGGGCGTGACCTCGTGTCGGTGTACAAGGGAGATGTACGGGAGACTTGGGGCTGTTGCAATGGGCGTCTCTCCACCTGATTATCAAGTGAACGGGTCTTCAATCAAGTTCCATCTCAAGAGAAGTGTGACAAGTCGTCACTACACATACGATGGCAATATGTTCAGGAACTAAATGCCCAACGTTGAGATCGGCTGGTCAGGACGAGAGGTCCTCAGGAGAGTTTGTGTAGTTCTGCTGCTCCCCCTTCGTTGACGCGGCGTAGAGACGTTGCGCTCCTCACAGCCGACCAGTCACGCGTTTTAAATATCACCAACACTGATAAACTAATTTTTTGTGAATTGCTTTTCGTATTTAGTTTGTTGTTCATGCAACCACTGGGATAGGGCACATGCAAACTCCAAATACACAGCAGGCGCTAGGGTCGTGATCGAACCCACGACCTCCTGAAAACCAGGCGAGGCAGTGAACATCTGGCTCACGTACTCCGGGCTGCAGCTGAGCGAGCGGTGCGGACATGCGGAAGCCGGACGGCGGTGCCGAGTAACTCGCCGGCGGGGCGAACGCATTCCCCGTCGGGTGGGAGTACGCAACCGGCGCCGCCTGCGGCACCACCGGCATCGGCGGCTGGTGGTAGGCGGGCGCCGGATGGTATGCAGGCGCCGGAGTCTTGACCGCGGCGGGCGACGCAAAGCCGACGGTCGGCAGCGGCGCCGGCGCCGGCGCGTACAGCATCCCGGACGTCGCCCCCGCCGTCATCGCCGCGGCCGGCGGGTACGTGGGCACAGCTTCGGCCGCGAAGCCGCACGGGGGGGGCGGCGGTTGGGAGGTCGTGCCGATGCCGGCGACGCCGGGGTCGGACAGGGACACGCGCTCGTACAGGCCGTTCCCGCGCACCCACGCGTCGATCTTATCGTTGATCATCCGCACGGCCACTGCGGGACGGCAAGGAAAACAAAAACAAGACGAGATGAGATCCGATCTGAATGCCGGCGAGTTCAGCTCGGCGAGGAATTTTAATCTGTGCTAACCGCCGCACTACCCCATGGGCACACACACTCGTACACACGCACACACATGCGCACACACACGCCGTCAGTCGCCGCCACCACCACCACCACGCGCCGGTGCGAGACAGTGTACGGCGTTCGGAGAGCGACCGGTGAAACGTCGCAACTCTGTGCGGACTCCTCTCACGATCCATCGGATGGGCGTCGGGAGTTGCTCGAAGGAGAGCGCTCGCACTGCGCTAACGAACTCGGCGACGAGAGTTCGACTCCAGCTCATGGTCAACACGGCTTACGATGATCTAAACCGCTCCTGGGCCTGCCCTCAAACGAGCGCTTGGTGCGGTGTGTAAATATTGCCACGGGGGAGACGATGCCGACCGCGTGTGGTGTTGATCACCCGGCCCCCCTCGTGTGCCATGTCGGCTTTCACACATGTTGCCAACAAGGCTATACCGGGGATTTTTTGTCTCGTCATTTGTGCATATGTAAATGTATAATCGGTCAGAGCGGTATAATGTAAACCAATTGAATACGTTAGTGTAAACACACATTGGTATGCTGCTGCTACTCTATTGTAACACTTTCCAACTAAGACCAAGAGTGTGAATGCATTGAGAAAAAAACTGGACCGTTTTGAGCAAAGTATTGCCCAGTAGAAAACCAAAGCAAAAAAACATTTAAAAGTATACTAAACTATTATTCATAATGTAGTAGTTAGTGTTAGTTTTCAGAGGGGGGCCCCACTTTCGACGAAAAGACATCATCAGTGCGAGGGCCGCCACACCGCCTACACAAGTGGTGTTTTCACATTTGTGTACTGTCGGGGGGGGGGGGGGGGTCACGTCATGGGCCTCACTAAAGGCCCCCAGGGGCCCGTTAGTGGTGGCCCCGGACCTCGCAAATGCAGAACACTGATGTAGCACACTCGGTATTCGCGCCACTCGTCGTTGAGCGCAGGGCGATCGTCACCAAGGAAAGGGGCGCGATGTCTCATGGTCACGGCCTCAGTCACATGACCTCACGGCCACCGCCTCACGGTCACGAGCTCTCGGTCACGGCCTCAAGGTCACGGCCTCAAGGTCACGGCCTCAAGGTCACGGCCTCAAGGTCACGGCCTCAAGGTCACAGTCACAGTCCGCAGCGGTTTCGGTAGGGGAGGGGGGCGAGATGAATCCGCGTGTAATCCCAGGAGTAAATTTTGCAGGCCCATTTTCAAATTGAGCAAACGCGGAGGCCGCGATGCCGGTACGCACCGGCATTGCGCAGCGCTGTAGGTGAGTGTCAGTGCGCTGTAGGTGAGTGTCAGTGCACCAAACCCACGGACTCAGGGTGTGAGGCATCTCGTGTCACCGCCGTTGTTTGATCTGGGAGGGCAGTATCGGCAGGAGCGCCAAAACCTCACGGCGCTCCACCTTCTAGACCCTCCTCACCCCCCCCCCCCCCCATAGGCCGATTTCCCGCCGATAAAAAGTTTGTCACAAGCGCAATAGCCATCAATAAACGAAAAGCCAACACTTGGTAATGCAGGAGGGTCGTGTGTTCGATCCCGACCCTGACGCCTGCTGTGTATTTGGAGTTTGCGTGTCTCTCTCTCCATCATTATCATCATCACGGTGGCTAGGAGATGTTAACTACCTCGCCTGGTCTACAGGTCGTGTGTTCGATCCCGACCCGGACGCCTGCTGCTGTATATTTGGAGTTTGCGTGTCTCTCTCTCATCATCATCACGGTGGCTAGGAGATGTTAACTACCTCGCCTGGTCTACAGGAGGTCGTGTGTTCGATCCCGACCCGGATGCCTGCTGCTGTATATTTGGAGTTTGCGTGTCTCTCTCTCATCATCATCACTGTGGCTCGGAGATGTTAACTACCTCGCCTGGTATACAGGAGGTCGTGTGTTCGATCCCGACCCTGACGCCTGCTGCTGTATATTTGGAGTTTGCGTGTCTGTCTCTCTCTCTCTCCGTGGTCATGTGGATTTTTCTCCGGGCCCTTCCGTTTTATCCCTCCACATTTTAAATCAACATCACCAAGGGTTTAGAGTAATGTGCCTGCTATATATGTCCACACGACGATAAGCCACTTCGTCGAGTCACCATTTGTGATCGCCAGGTTTATTCGGTAGCTGTACGGCCTTACCTGGTAAAAATAAAAAAATGCTGCTCCCCAATGCGTCTCTTACTTTTTTTCATTTTTAAAAACACGATTGCCGAGCGCGGGCCCAAAAAAATGTCAAGCGGCCAGCATCGAACCGCGCCGTCGAAGACAAAACGAATTAACTTGCGCCGATACATTTTTTTTTTGGTCGGGTGGTGGAGGGCTTCACGTTTCTGACACGACTACGCCGAGACGACCTCACAACTAAAGAAATAAATTGTGAACCGTCACGTCGGTCGTGAAAAACTACGTACGAGATTAAGCGCTATCAAAGTGGTGGGGTAATAAGGGTTAATACTGATTTAAAGCTTTCGTGACTGCAGGGATTCATATTCTTGGTTCTTTCGGAAAAAGTCACGTAGAAGGGAAATAATAAAAAAATATGTATAAAACAATAAAAAATCTCACGAAGTTTCGACTGCAACACAAGCAATCATCATCAGGTGTGAAAATTTTCTTGCTGTGGATTTCACACCTGATGACGATTGCTCGTGTTGCAGTCGAAACGTCGTGAGAATTTATTTTATTTTATTATTTCCCTTCTAAGGGTTAACACGTTATTTGAAATGACCAAGGTTATTATTATTTCAAAAGCTTGGGGAAAGAAACGACGGGGCAGCATTACAAATGGGGAGCAAGTGTGGGGGTGAAACAGTGCAGACGGGGCTACATCCCAATAGCACGGTTGGCTACATGCAGTGCGAAAGAAGTTGACATGCATTCTGGTACTCACAGCTCACACTATCCGCGCCGCTCCCCTTGATATGAAGGTGAAGTGGCTGGTCACTGTCAACAAATGAACGATTTGCACAAAATTAAAACACAAACCTCAAGTTGAACCAATTAAACAGGCTTCATGGTCACACTTATGTCCGAGCAGATGATCAAGGTAAGGTAAAAGTGTAAAAACAACGAGCATACCTTTACCTTACCACAATACAATCACTCTACCCTACCTTTTACCCTTTAGCAGGTAAGGTAAAAAGCAACGAGCCTACCTCTTTTACCCTACCCTTTACCCTTACCCCTTGGCATGTCGACACCTTTACCCGGTAAAAAGGGTACAATTACCTTTCCTTGCCGAGGCCTAGGTCAAGGCTAGAGAGAGAGAGAGCCCAAACAGCAGCAGGTGTATTGCCGAGCGCACGTGTTCAGCCCATTTCATGCAACGGATGCTTTGTGCGTTTAGTTTGCTGTCCCTTGCCCCCCCCCCGCACCTCCGATTAGCACGGTCGGCTAAGTACGGGGTGTGAAACAAGTGCAAGGAATATACAACAGGCGTGTTCAGAACTGCTCGTGGTGCACACGCACAAAGCAGCACTGAATTTCGATTTAAAGCTTCTTTCGTGACTGCAGGGATTCATCTTCTTGGTTCTTTCGGTAAAGTCAGGTAGAAGAAAAATAATAAAATAATAAAAATAAAACATAATAAAATAATTCTCACGACGTTTCGGCCACAACGCAAGCAGCCGTCCTCAGGTGAAGAACAGGTCTGTCGGGGAGACAGCGTCTGAATGTCTCCCCGACAGACCTGGTCTTCACCTGAGGACGGCTGCTTGCGTTGTGGTCGAAACGTCGTGAGAATTTTTTTATTATGTTTTATTTTTATTATTTTATTACTTCCCTTCTACGCGACTTTACCGAAAGAACCAAGAAAAAGCAGCACTGCTCCATGACTCCGCATGAGCAAAGCCATCCCCCTAACAGATGCCGCGTGTATCCTGCACCACCGATAAAAGAACCACGGCCCTCAGGAAAGGGGCATCAACCTCGTTTGTACGGCATTGTTCTTCATTAGCGCATGTTTAGCATTAGAACATCGTCTGTAAAATTCACACGCGATGAATTCTTACACGCGCAAGGTATAGCGTGAACAATGATCGATGTTTATTGATGATTCAATGTGAAGGACGCTGCTCATGTGGCGGTCAACAAAGCCTTCATTACAGAGGTCGCAAACGGGTTTTGATTCCTTACCCGTACCCGGCCGCACCAGGGTCGCAAACGGGTACCCGTACCCTACCCGATACCCGGCTACCCGTACCCGGCCGGGTATCGGGTAGGGTACAAGTATTGGGTACCCGATTGCGACCTCTGGGATGAAGCTATGTTGCAGGCGCGGGTGGGTTGATTCTAGGAACTTGAATTGTGTGAAGAAACAAGACGTTGGGAAATGAGTGACAACGGTTACTCACCAGTGACTCACGGGCCTACCCGTACCCGGCCGCACCAGGGTCGCAAACGGGTACCCGTACCCAGCCGGGTACGGGTAGCCGGGTATCGGGTAGGGTACGGGTATCGGGTACCCGATTGCAACCTCTGCTTCATTATTGAAGACTCATGGGTAACACAACAGGTGACATAGCAGGTAACACAGCAGGTAACCAAGGCAAAGATCCCCCCCCCGTATAGCCTTCACAAACTGTAGGGGCAAGTGCCGTTAAGCGAGCACCTACGAAGAGGGGTGGGGGCGGCCAGCACCACGATCAGCCGCCTTTGTCTCCCCAGTAGCGACGATATTTACTACACACCGCACTCACAATCCACACAAGCTCACACCGACGCTCTGTCGAACACGGGAAGAGAACTTACAACCGCCACACAGAAAGCCGCCAGATTCGGTAATCGAACCTGGGCCCTTCTTGCTGCAAGGAACAAGCGTTACCACGAAGCTCCCGTGCAGCCCTATGAGCAAGTTCATTATTAAGTAGCCAACTTACTCGGGAGAAGCCACTGCCTTTTCCTCCAGAGTCATATAGCGCCCTCTGGTTGACACCACTGTGCCCGTCTGCTTACTTATCTGCAAATACAAGAGACAAGTTTCGATTTAAAGCTTTCGTGACTGCAGGGATTCATCTTTTCTTGGTTCTTTCGGTAAAGTCACGTAGAAGGGAAATAATAAAATAATACAATTTTTTATTAAATTCTCACGACGTTTTGGCCACAACACAAGCAGCCGTTCCTCAGGTGAAGACAGAGTTGTGTGAAAGACAGCGCTCCAATGAACACTGCTAAGCTTGGCAGCGTATTTTACGCTGGGTGGGAGGAGAAGATCGCCTTGACAAAGGAGTTTACATATCAACAGAAGAATGTAGCATTGAATAAGCCGTGTTAATGTGAGAGAATTAGCAGGATGTTAAAGTCAAAAATTAGCATGTAACCATTTTATTATGTTGTATTTTTATTTTATTATTTCCCTTCTACGTGACTTTACATCATTGTCGTCGTTAGTACCTCCTCCTGCACTTGCACGAGGGTGATCTTGTTGCGACTTGCGGCAGGGATGTCGTGATGTCCAGGTTGACCTGCACCTTCTCATGGGACGACTTCGTCATTCCAGGAATAACCTGCTGCTCACACAAAGACAAAGATCCCCCGTATAGCCTTTAACAGACTGTTGGGGCAAGTGTCGTTCGGGAGCACACATGAAGGCTGGAACGGTACGAGGGGGTTGGTGGCCAGCACCACGCCCGACCGCCCTTGTTGTCTTTAGTGGGGATGTTTACACACCGCACCAGGTACTCATTTGAGGCTGAGTCGACCTAGGGAAGGCCCAGGAGCGGTTCAGATATTCGTCAATGGCGTTGGCCGTGAGCGGGAATCGAACCAGGGTCGCCGGGTTCGTAGCGCAGCGCTCTAACCGCTCCCCATGCGCACAAGCGCACACACGCCGTCAGTGGCCATCACTACACGCCAGAGGTCGCAACCGGGTACCCGATACCCTACCCGATACCCGGCTAACCGTACCCGACCGGGTACGGGTACCCGTTTGCGACCCTGGTGCGGCCGGGTACGGGTAGGCCGTGAGTCACTGGTGAGTCACCGTTTGTAACTCATTTCCCAACGTCTTGTCTCTTCTCACAATTCAAGTTCCTAGAATCAACCCACCCACGCCTGCAACATGGCTTCATCCCAGAGGTCGCAATCAGGTACCGATACCCGTAGCCTACCCGTACCCGGCCGGGTACGGGTAGAGTACCCGTTTGCGACCCTGGTGCGGCTGGGTACGGGTAAGGAATCAAAACCCGTTTGCGACCTCTGCTACACGCTGGTGCGAGACATTGTGTTCTCCTATAATGTGGAAGTTGTGTTCCTGAAGACTAGCACGCGACCTAACCCAAAAGAAACCTGTATTACGGATAGTGGTCACAAAAGCCTACGTGTTGAAGTGGCCTGATTGATCGTGGGCTAAGAATGACGGTGACGATGATGACGACAAAGACGTTGTGGCTGGAGCCCGCACCGTGTCGTTGCCGGTCTTCACGTTCACGTTGGCGGGCGCCTTGAGCTTCCCCCGGGCCACCAGCATGTTGTTGATGCGCGCCGCAGCGGCGGCGGCGGCCTCCAGCGCACACGGGACCCGATCATCGCTGGTACCCGCCTCGTCCCACTTGCTCCGCCGCCTGCATCCCACCACCACGCACAACGCGGAGAGCCACCGTCAAAACATATTACACTACTATAAAGTCCATAACCAAGGGTTTTTTTGGGTTAGATGGCGGAAATATAAATGTGTCATTAAACTCGTCGCTGCCTGCCACAGACAATTCATAATCAGAGTATTTATTCATATAAAGCCCTTTTTCTCAGATGTCCAGTAGACGCGGGTCAGATTTTTTTTCCGTAATGGTTTGTCGCGTAAACAAGACGTGCCAATTAGTTACTGTCTTCTTGGTTCTTTCGGTAAAGTCACGTAGAAGGGAAATAATAAAATAATAAAATAAAACATAATAAAATACAATTCTCACGACGTTTCGGCCACAACGCAAGCAGCCGTCCTCAGGTGAAGAACAGGTCTGTCGGAAAGACAGCGTCTGAATGAGCACCACCACGCTTGGCAGCGTATATTTAAGCTGGGTTTGCTTGGGATACGACGCGCTTGCTCGAACTTGTATGGGTCGGGATGAGTCTCCGCGTACACAATACTGTTACGGCTCTAACAAGCCGTAACAGTATTGTGTGGGATGACCAGACAATGTCACACTTCAGGAACATTCTTAGAAGCAAAAACAAACTTCAGTGGACAGGTTTTTAGTAAAACTCAAACCTGGTGAGCCTCAACCAGGTCCAAGTCAAGAAAAGACAGAAAAAAGAAAAACCCCAGAATTTCAGCTTCCTGAAGTTTTAATGGAAGGATATACGTAATTTTCGGTATAAGTCCTACCTTCTGGAACGAATTCACGACGTATACCGCGATACCACTATATTATCAGAGCACGTTTATTTAGATGTTTTGCCACAAGTATGTGCGATGCCTTGCAATACGCGCGTCGATTTGGTGTTTGAACATCTTAACACCTCCTGGTTTATCGGCAAAAAGGGTGAAGCCTATTCTTATTCTTTCACCATTTTTATCCTTCCAAAAATTTCCCACAGATACAGGATATATTTTACTGGTAGGAACCACCTGGTTACACCAGCCCACAGGGGATATTTGTGTCCGTCCATCGTGCAGGGAGGGGCTGGGTGGGGAGGGAGGGGGCTGGGTCGGGAGGGGCTGGCCACCCCGTGGTGCCCTTATAAAACTCAACGTTTAATCTACTCACGCCGGCTTGTGCCCGCCCTCACAGTCGGCCATATTTGCGGAATACACCACGCCGCCGTTGACCCTGGCCATTGACCGAGCAACCCAACGCTCCTACCAGCTCCCTCCGCAGGAATGTGTTTGCTTTGTGACCAAAAAACTAGAAAGCCCCTTGGGTTGGATTCACCTTTCTGTGTGACGTTTTAACAGTCTCAAACTGTTCTAACATGGCTTTCCTCCCACAGATAAAACATTTTACAGCATAAGCACACACTGTAACTGGCATTAGCCAAGCAACATCTTGATGCTGAGAAGTAACCTTACAAATAACCCATGGCAGTACACAACTCGAAATAATCATTAGCGTTGTTGTGGAAAACAGTATACTGCTCCATATCCGTATCTTGAAATAAAAACATCTTACAACACATCATCCACGTGGCCGTCTGGGAGTGTATAATTTCGGCAGCATTGATTAGACACAAGCAACTATGGAGAAGTTACGACATTCAGTGTTTCGTCAGCAGTCTAATACATCAATGCTGGTGAACTGCTGATCTTACCTGGCATGGACCGTACCTTTGTGACAACGATACTAAATTATATTATCATACCTGTCAACCCTTATCAGTGCCTACCTTATCACAGACCAATTCAGACCTTATTGGTCACCCCGTGCGCCGTATGGACCTGAAAATTAAATTTTCCTGTACAAAAATACAGATAAAGCGTAGGGTTGACAGCTACGTATTACACATAACTCAAAACTATCATTACTGTCGCTGTGGAAAATATAAATGCGGATATGACACATCAATATCGAATCCCCACTTAAGACTTTGCAGGACCCTTTCGAAATAATTGAGGCTTTAAAGGCTTTCCTTGGTAGACACGTGTCATCATAGATTATGGTACACGTGTATTCTATTCTTGCGCCTGGCAATGTGTCAGTAAGCTAAATGTGTACCCATCACTCACTTCTGATGTTATTCGTTCGTGGGTGTAGTTACATTACAACGTAACTACACAGTACAGGACATGTAGCTCTAACAGGCCCTGTTGTCAATCCACTGCTGGATAGGGGTCTCCCCCACGCCTCTGTGGGACCGTGGTGGCTTGATGGACCAGCATAGCCACTGGGGGGCTGCACTTTTACATAATCTAGATTGAAAACGAATTTATTTGGAACAACTTTTTGTGTTTAGTTTGTTGTCACACACCCCCCCGCACGTCCGATTAGCGCAGTTGGTTATGTACGGTGCGAAAGAAGTTCAACGTACCCTCACAGAGACCCACAGCCTCACACAGGGACCCACAGCCTCACACAGGGACCCACAGCCTCACATAGAAACCCACAGACTCACACAGGGACCCACAGACTCACACAGGGACCCACAGCCTCACACAGGGACCCACAGCCTCACACAGGGACCCACAGACTCACACAGAAACCACAGACTCACACAGGGACCCACAGCCTCACACAGGGACCCACAGCCTCACACAGGGACCCACAGCCTCACACAGAAACCCACGACTCACATAGAGACCCACAGCCCCACAGAGAGACCCACAGCCTCACAGAGACCCACAGACTCACACAGAGACCCACAGATTCACACAGGGACCCACAGCCTCAACAGAGAGACCCACAGACTCACACAGAGACCCACAGATTCACACAGGGGACCCACAGCCTCACAGAGAGACCCACAGACTCACAGAGACCCACAGATTCACACAGGGACCCACAACCTCAGAGACCCACAGACTCACACAGAGACCCACAGACTTACACAGAGACCCACAGACTCACACAGAGACCCACAGACTCACACAGACGACCCACAGCCTCACAGAGACTCACACAGAGACCCACAACATCACACAGAGACCCACAGACACACACAGAGACCCATAGACTCACAGAGACTCATAGTTTGTTGCCCTTCCCCCCGAACGTCCCATTACATACACACACACACACTCATGAATATAAGACAATAATAATGTAGAAATAATATGTAGCTATTGAACATTTAAATCGTAAGATGTGGATACAACAACAGTGGAGAAGTAGGGGGGAGCTCATCACACAACACGGAACACTACACTACATACACAAACACACACACTCATGAATATAAGACAACAATAATGTAGAAATAATAAAAATGAAGCTATTGAACATTTAAACGCAAGGTATAGATACAACACGAGTTGAGAAGTCGGGGGTGAGATCGTCACAACACGGAACACTACACTACATAAACACACACACACACTTATGAATATACGACAATAATAATGTAGAAAGAATAAAATGTAGCTATTGAACATTTAAATAGTAAGCCGTGGTGGATACAACAGTTGAGAAGTAAGGGGAGCTCACACAACACGGAATACTACATACACAAACACTCATGAATATAAGACAATAATAATGTAGAAAGAATAATAATGAAGCTATTGAACATTTAAATTGCAAGGTCGGGTGGATACAATACGAGTTGAGAAGTAGGGAGGAACTCATCACACAACACGGAACACTGCACTACATATACACACACTTATGAATATAAGACAATAAGAATGTAGAAAGAATAAAAATGTAGAAAGAAAAAAAAATTTAGCTATTGAGCATTTAAATCGCAAGACGTGGTGGATTCAATAACAGTTAAGAAGTAGGGGGGGGAGATCGTCACACAACACGGAACACTACACTACATACACAAACACACACACTCATGAATATAAGACAACAATAATGTAGAAAGAACATTTAAATCTTAAGATGTGTGGATACAACAACAACAGCAGTTCCGGGTGTAAAAGTGAAACTTAAAATGGCGAAGCCGTTGTCACCACCAACGACTTCTCGCACAAACTCCACTAAAACCTCCCCTCGCGTCTCTCTAAAATTACACAAACACATTCATTACACACATTTAATCGTCGCGTTACCACGCGCCAAATTACGACACGAAGGGAAAGATTAATTAAAAGAATAGCGACATCGGTGGGGGAGCCGAGGTAGGCGATTGATGGTGAGGAGAGGGGGGGGGAGGGTTGCAAGGCCGCGAAACCTCCGCGGAGACGGAGCGACGGAATCTCTTCGCGTTTTGCTTCTACGCCGGAGCCGAATAAGATCGTTAACAACACACAACACAACACAAACACACACGCAACGTACGTGTGTTACACATCCATCCAGCAGCGAACGGACCACGACTAAATCACCTCAAAGCCTAAGGCCTACACGAGAGAAGCCTAAGGCCTACACGCTTGAAGCCTTCGGCCTTCCGCTTTCTCAACACAAATTCTCACCTCCTCGGCAAATGCTCACGACAACACAAACAAAACAAATCGAGCACGCAGGCTACTCACGCGGGTCTCAGCGAAGCCACCTCCGTGCTCATCTCCCTCACGCACGACGCGTCCAGAGTACAGAGGGCCGACTTCGTTCGCGCCCTTTGTCCGTCGGCCAAATATCCCTGTGGCCCAACGAGGCGTATGACGTCACGGCGGCGGCAAGGGCGGCAGTGACGTCATCGTGTTTGGTAGGGCGTGACGTCATGTATCCCGCACGCGAAGAAGCCGTTGAGGGCGGGTGCAAGACCCCCGCCAGGGAGACTGTGTGAGTCTGTGGGTGTGTCTGTGTGGGTCTGTGTGTGTCTGTGTGTGTGTCTGTGTGAGTCTGTGTGTGTCTGTGTGTGTGTCTGTGTGAGTCTGTGTGTGTGTCTGTGTGGGTCTGTGTGAGTCTGTGTGAGTCTGTGTGTGTCTGTGGTGTGTCTGTGTGAGTCTGTGTGCGTCTGTGTGTGAGTCTGTGTGTGTCTGTGTCCGGCAAAACAACCTCCTACCTCCTCGCGGTGCCGGACGGGCAACACTGTCGTGGGCAGTGCTGTGGGGGGAGGGCCAATGCCCATTGGCCTCTCCCCTCATGGCGTCTGTGACCACCACAGTGGCTAAACGGGGGCTCTGGACGGGTGTGAGGGGCTGGTAACCCCTCCACCTTCAATTCATTACCACTAAACCACGAATTAAACATAAACCTGTAACAAATAAGCTTGTGCCGGAGGCCCCGGGGGGTCAGGTTATGACGTCTCCTGGCCAAACCCCATTTGGCGGAGCCAGGAGATTGAATTTTCCCTCGGGGCTCCTCCAGAAACAACAAAAAACCATTGCGGATGGCCACGTGGAATGTTCGAACGCTCACTGCGGAGGAGAGGCTGCCACTCCTCTGTCGGGAGCTGGACCGGTACCGCCTGGATCTCTGTGGCATTCAGGAGGTCCGGTGGACCGGTTCTGGCTCCTGCCACCATGAGGGGTGGACAGTCCTCTACTCGGGGCAGGAGACTGCCAAACAACA